AGAATCACCAAACACGTGCAAAGCTCTCATATACAAGCAATAACTGAAATCGAATCTCCCAATCGAATGTAACTTGACTTCTGATTTAATGTGCAGCTTTTCTTAATTTTGTGTACTGCATATATTACAGTAATTGGATGTGCACGCAAGCATATATTTTTTATAATATCTATTAGGCGGGCTCATTTTTAGGTTTTGCTGCAACACTGGACTGCTAGCTACTACCGCAAAACCCATTCCTCTCACAGACTGAAGCAGGAACGGTTTCCTTGCGCTGAATTAAATTACACAGCTAGTGTGCCAAGAAAAATGTCATCAATCTTCCCTAAAAGACAAGTGTCACTCTCAAGGATTTACCCTTAACTTTATCATGGCCGAACCTGGGTATAATGGCAAAAAGAAATGTGTGAACAGAAGCTTGTTGCCTGAGATTCCAGGTATCTCCTGTTGTACCTTTAAATCCTACCCTAATTGATCATAATGTGTTTCTAGGCCATGTCAATGGTATCAGCAAGCTTGAGGGCCGCCAGCACAGGATCAGCCAGCCTGCAGTGCCCCTGGAGGTGGGGATTAAGGGCCTTGCTATGGGGCCCTACGGTGGCATCAATCTGCTGGACATGGGATTTGAACCGACACTCTTCTGATCACAGACACAGATTCCTATCCCCCTGGCCACACAGCAAAGGGTCAGCCAGCCTGTAGTGCCCCTGGAGATGGGGATTAAGGACCTTGCTGTTGAGCCCTATGGTGGCATCAATCTGCTGGGCATGGGTTTCGAACCAGCACCCTTCCGATCACAGACACGGATACCTAACTCACTGATCACACAGCAAAGCACCAGCCAGCCTGCAGTGCCCCAGGACATGGGGATTATGGGCCTTGCTGTAGGGCCCTGTGGTGGCATCAATCTGCTGGGCACAGTATTCGAGCTGGCGCCCTTCCGATCACAGACAAAGAATCCTAACCCACCGGGCCACACTCCACCACCCATTTACGATCCTGGTGAGTGTCTTCAGATAAAACATGTCTCACTAAGCAAATAAAGAACACCAGGTTTAGCAGAGAATTCTAGGAGAAGACATCTGGACTTGTTTGCCCTCTCTCTCTTTCTCTCTCTTCCCCTCCTTCCCCTGAATCGCATCACCCATCCACCCCCCCCCCCACCCGCCCTCTCCTCCTCTGTAACCTAATTGCTGTAATTAATTTGCATGACCTGCAGACAATTCGAGTTCTTGTCATGCCTTGGTCAGGTTATTAGTGAAGTGTGAAATCAATTTGCTTTCGATGGAGGCAGAGAGAAAGAGCGAGCACCCAGAGCAAGGCGGCGCGCCGGCATCCTCTTAATCGCTCCCGTGTTTGTTTTAATAGCTTAACGATGTCGCCGCATCATAAGATGCGAACGGTTATATGCCAGAAAGAAAAAAAAAATGGAGTATTGTTTACTGCCGCCATATATTCAAGGCCCACATGCTGTGCATTGCAGCCCTTTCATCCATCACATTTTCCAGAACTCTCCGTTTATCCAGTAGTATTGTGGTGAGCCCGACCCAAGACAGCGGATACTAAGAGGCAGGAAACACCAGGAGGAAGCCAGCCAGCCTGGGGGGGTCTGTGGGACAACATTTAATGTATTTAGCAGATGCTTTACAGGGTCAGGCAGTCCCTAGAGCAATAAGGCACCAATGGTGAAATTACTCTGCTGATCCAAGGATCCGAACCAGCAACCTTCTGATGAAGACACAGTGTCCTAACCCACTGGGTCACACACAGGTGTCTATGCAAACTCTACACATGTAGACTAGGGGCAGGATTTGAACACACAACCTCAACACTGGTGCGTAACACAAAAAAAATCTAAGACAAATACCAATGCTCCTTGACATAGGGTGGGGCTACATTCTGATGGAGCCACTTGAAGTTGGATATATCATAAGTCCGATATGATATGATATGATATGATATGACACCCTTTAGAAAACTTGATTAAACACAGAAAAAAACCCATACGATACATCGTTAAATACCGTTTGATACCGTACGATACGCTCGCGCTCGCTACGGAGGGAAGCATGCCTGTCTGGATGCTGCATCAGTCTAAAATATCATACGGCATATCGTCAGCCTGGGAACAGATCGAAATCAAGTGACTACTAAACGTGCAGCGCTAACGCACCACCATGAAGTTTAAATATCGCAAGTCGAACAAACTTAGTCAGGAGCATAATTACACGGATGTGACATAAGAAGGTCATGCTGTCAGTTATTAGCGATTATCTGCATACCTGCGTTTACTGGTGTGTCAACAGAAGGGTCCTTTTCCAGCAAACAGCAGCCTTGAAGGCTTCTATAAATCACGAAGTCCGGAGAGTCTCCAGACTGCAATCCACTCTTCTGTAAAATTGCTGGAAAGCTCTGCAGTTGCAGCTTGACATAATCTACAGATACTGATTTATCTTTAACAGCTATTACAGGTCCTAAGAGTTTCTTTTTCCCGGAAGTTTCTGGCAAAAGTTTTTTACATAACCTCTATATTAAAAAAAGCAATTTCATTAAATTGAATCAATAAATGACACCATATAGTTTATGACTAAAATTTGATATGAACATATACAAAAGTTTATCGTTTTATTTTTTAATGTGCGTCTTACTGTCTGTAAAATAAGGCAAATTGGGGCCCAGTCCTTATATTTTAGGGTAGATGACTGGCATATAGTGTTTCCCAAGATGTGAATGGCGACACACAGACAGCCCACGCTTTTGCTCCCTTCAAGGCATTCCGAATTTTTGCTCCCTACCAAAAATGTGGACAGTGTGCAGGTCCCCGAGGACTGGATTGGGAAGCATTGGTATATAGCACTGGGGCACTGGGATTGAATTTGCTCAACAGCGAGGCTCAGAAATGGCTAATCCAGGATGGATCCACAGTAGTTACGGGAAACCAGTAAAAGGCAGCAGTGTTCGCTTTGCGGAGCTTGGGCCAGGTCTTCCCTGGAAAGGTATACAGATGTGCAAACATCTGTACAGTTACAGCAGATTTCCCCACTTGGTTTTTCGTTCTTATCTTAGCAAGTGTCTCTATTCAGGGTCAGCTGCTGCCACGTTCTCCTTTTCTAAAGTGTTTCCTATTTCATCGTTGTTCTTCTTTCCCGCCAGAGTTCCCAGGTTGCTCTAGTGATTGCGCGGTAACCTCATTAAATGCAGGAACGTGTGACGCCGATGCACTGGGGCAGGCGGCCGGCGACACCTCGCTTTAGTTAGACATGCACACCGCCCCTCAGGCACATAAGTGGTTATGAGGTAAGATGCCCCCAGGTGGGTGGGAGTGGTCTTCAAAAGGTTTGAGAGCCCGGACCTCGCAGGGACAACTATCACAGACCCCAGATACCCGGTAAAAATGCCAGTGTCCCTGTCCTGTGTCACTTTTTCTTGTCTTGCGGACAAGAGCCATTACGTGGCAGCAGATGAAGGGGAGGTGGAGATCAAGCGGCGACCCGCCCCTTCATTAACATTCGGACTGCATCTGAGACGTCTCCCCTCCTAGGTCTCCATTATCTGCCGCCGTTCTTACCGTGGTGACAATAATGGAGCGAATGGGATTACGTGGGAATTTGACGCTAATTTACAGGGACAGAAGATGAATGGAGCTAGTTTTGTTTTTTTTTTTTTAATTCAATCTGTGCCGGCAAGGTCCGGTCGGTAATAAACGACAGACACGTGGTGACGGCTCTGCGCCCGACGTGGCGTCGAAGCGGGGGGCCGCGGGATATTTCCCAGCTGCCTCTCCTCATTATGGCATGAGTTGTTAGCCTGGATTCACGTGCATGAAAAGATGAACGACGTTCCCCTTTGGGATACGTGATTGTAAAAAAGAAGAAAAATGTGTGTCTGCCCTGAGGTGGACAGGGATCTCGTCCATCTGTCCTTTATGGAACATGGATGGATGGTCTTGCGTAACACCAAACACAGGGTTCTGCGGTGTTGCCAGGGGTGTTTTAGGGGGCTTTAGCCCACCTAAAATGTTCTTAGCGGCAAATACGTGTACGATAATTCGTTTAAATAGTCTGCTCTCATTCATTTTCATTAAAATCAGATCCTCCTAGAAAAGACTTAGCCCCTCATTCATAAATCTTTAGTGATGTTCCTGATAGAGTCGATCCTCCAGGTGCCGGAATGGTGGGACAGAACTATCCCGACTGATTCCACCGCCTGTGAACGAGTGGAGAAGCCCAGTTATGTCCTGCAGTCATTCACTAAGACAGTGTTTCCCAATCCAGTCCTTGGGGACCCACAGACAGTCCATGTTTTGCTCCCTACCGGGAGCTCGAAGGGAGCAAAGACATGGACCGAAGACCGGATTGGGAAACACTGCTCTAAGAGAAAGGAAAATGTCCTTACAGTGATGCTACATAACCAAGCAGCCCTGTTTCTACACATCCAGACCTTTGTGTGCTCATAGTGACTCTCCTGCTAACATTCATTAAATATGGGCTCACGTGTGGAATGAAATTTAATCCAGGTCTTCACTAATTGAGAAAATTATTATTATTTAAATGACATTAAAATGGCAGCTATTAAAATGATTATCTTGCAGGTAGGGTTGCCACGTTCATTTAAACGTATGAAATAATTACATTTTATTTGTCACACGTGCGTTAGTGCCAAATTTTCTGAAGCAGGCCCAGAAAACTTTGCTGTCATCAGAAAAAAAAAAACATTTATGTAAATCAACCTGCTACACCAGTTTCTCTGTTTGACTGTTGGTAATTTCCCAAAAACTACTTCCCACCTGCCTAACTGATTTCCAATTAAAATGTCCATTAATTAGTGCTCATTAGGCAAAACCCGAGCTGTTCTGCATGCCCGCCCACTCATGCCCGCTTACGAATGTCTTTGCATTTGTGGCGTTTCCTGCCTCCAGTTTCCCGGCAGGCCTGACTGTACTATTTCATCTGTTTCTTCCTGCTTGTGGCTGATGTCACATGGGGCTTTGTCGCATGCAGATGCACAGGACACCCTCACGATCGCTTCGAGCAGATGGCATGGCCGATACAAGCCTCATAACCCCACTGTCAGAAGCTGCACTTTCTGGAGGGGAATCACCTTGGCAAAAAAATCCATCTCTATAAGCAGGTAAGATGTGAGTCTGAGTGCCGTGTAAGTGGCTGAGGGAGAAGGATTCCGCGGGGCACTGAAGTTAACAAGCAGGCAGAGATCGGCGTTTGCGCCACCTTCAGGATGGGAAACATCTGGGACAGATTGAGGGCAGCTGCTGTCTTCTTACTCTCTTAATATGTTGATTATTAAAAAATGGTAACGGGGCCATAGCACAGATGGTCTCTTGTATTATCCTGTTTTTATGACTAGATCAAACTTGATCTGCTCAGTGTTTAACTATAAACACTCATGATGTGTTTGACACCCAATTGCAATTCCGGAGAGTTTCAGTCCACATTACATAGTTCTGGATGCAGGGCCCCTTGATCTGAAAATTCCTTGGCCCCTTCTCTGTGACCCCCCCCCAGCCAAAATGGTCTTAGAGTCAATCTGTGCCACAAAGACCAGCTGGGCACCTTCACGGAGTTCTGTATGCGCTCAGATGTCTAGCCATACTAAACGTTCGGTCATCTGACCCTACCCCTAAACCCCACCCCCTTCAGATGGGAGGATCGCTAAGTGGTCAACATTACCTGTCAGTCTGGATGATCTCCAAATATGATTGGTCGGTGAAATGTATGTTGGGTGGACGTTGTTGGCCTGCTATATTTACATGGTGCTATATTTACAGATGGGACACCTACAAGTCAATTAGTGCTCGTGAGAACGTCAGCTTGCCTCCTGCTGCCACATATAATATTATGTATGCCCAGGAATAAACGTTAATGCATGCATAAGTCGTTTCATCGTTTCAATCTACCAGAAGGTTAATTTTTTTTCTCCATCATAAAAATATTGAAGGAACATTAGAACTGTCCATACGTCAACTGAAAGCACTTCCAACCTACATCTGGACTGTCTGTGTGAGGAGTTTTATGAATATGATTATCACCCACTGCTGAAGTCTACCGCAACATTAACTTAAGCGACGTTAGGAATAAGTTAAACGTAATTTAATAGGTTACCCGAGGTTCCTTTCAACCGGGCCCCACTTTCATTTTTCATCACTGTTAGAAGAAGAAAAAAAAGGACAAAACACCCATCCTTCAAAGAGAAATGAAAAACAGAGAGGTGTGCCTGTCGTCCATTTAGAGAATTGGGCACCTGTCACCCATCAAATACCCTTTAAAAGCATGGGCACCAATCGCCGCGGAAATGCGACCTTTCTGCCGCAGCACTTTGATATGATGCGACCGGGGCTCTGCGTGCCACTCCGCGGGAGAAGGGGAGGACCTGCTTTTCATCTCCGCAGCCATTAAATCAGAGCGTTTCCTTCCGTGCAGCGCAGAAATGTACATGAAGGAGCATATTTTAGGTCTGCCTCAGATATGAAGCATGTCACTGCTGACAGGGTCTAGGGTGCCTGAATTGAGCGCCAAAGCTACGTAGACAGAATAGGCTTTAGATCTAAACCATGTCCGTCAAGCAGCTATGCTACATAATAAATATAATCTCTACTTCCGGCGTTAACGTTTGATAATTTGCGCGGTTTCTTTTGGTTCTGTATGTTTCTCGCCACCTGACTTTATGTTGCAATGTCGACAGTGAATGAGACAGACCTGTAGATAGGTGCCCTCATAGATCATAGGTCACGACATACAAACTCAACAAGGGCAAAAATAAGTTAACAGGAATATGTCAGCACTGTTAGCATTGTCCCTTCGACTGCGACGTTCTCGAAGCCTCTCAGCTTTTCGGCGCTTCCCGGTGGCCGTCCCAGAGCCGTCCCAGTGAGGCACTTCAAGTGGTATCGTTTTCCGGAGTCGGACACGGGAACAACTCGAGAACCTGCAGCCAATTGCGGGGAAAATAGGAAGTGACAGCAAAGCAAGCGCCGTGTTCAGAAATAGATCCCCACCTGGTGGCCCCTAATGTCATTACCGCGGTAACACACCGCGTGAGAGGTATCATTCACGGCGGGAATGCCACGTGCTTTAAGGGAGGGCAACTTCGCTCAATTCCCCACGACAGCTCTGACGTGCTGCCGAATCGCTCTCTTTTCCCAGGAAATTTCCCTGAAAATGCAGGACCTCGTAGTGACAGGATTTCCATCTCCGTCAGGGTCTCGGCCTGTAATTCTAACTTGTTACAAAAGTCCTGCAGTCTCAAGAAGTGAGATACAAAACTGAACAGAAACATTCTCCCGACAGCGTGCATTTAAGCTCACCGTCTGAATATTTTAGGATAAAATATTCTAGTGATAAAGGTAAAAAAAAAAGGTCATTTTGCGATTGGGTACCAGGATAGTTATCATATAGTTTTAGAAGAGTGGGGAAGTCTGACACCAAAATCGTTTCCTATCTGGTGACGCCGCTGATTTTGGGTCAGTGAAAGTTCTTCATGACAAGAAGAATGTCATCAAATGTAAAAAATGGACCCTGGTAGTGCTCTTACAATCTAAGGACTGAATAGTGCCCCTGGACTTCACTCCCACTGAAATATTTCTAATTTTATTTGTATAATTAAAACATGTGTATTTTGCACCAAGTTATTACTGTGCATTTTAAGAGTGAACGTTGACATGGATGAAGGCTACCTGGTCCAAACTCGGGTTACTTTCTGAAAATACACTGAACTGCAAAATCAGGGAAGTTTCTCCAGCACCCTTGCACATCTGACGCCACTCTCAGATTTTATGCAATACATTGTTAATGGAGAAAATGCGAAGACATTCCTTAAATGTGGGGATCATGTGAGGACCCATAACGGTGGTGACCTCACTGGAGCTTAAAAATAGGCATGGAAATTAGCAGTCACCTAAACTGAGCCACAAGAGAACAAAGTAATAGCTATTATGGTCTAGCTTCTTCCAGAATAACGGCTCCAGTGGTAATTAACACATAAATTTCAATCATCCTCGTGTTTGTAGATTTCTCACCCCCATGCAGACCTGAAATGATCAGAAGTTTCCCCCACCTTCTTGAAGCTGAGGCCCACAGAGGAACCCCGCTGGGTCACATTCCGCTTGGGGCGCTCGGAGACCTTGGCAGGGGTGGGGGTAATCCTTCCTCCCCTTTCCTTGACTCTACATGGTTTACCGACATGACAGGAACGCCTCCCGCCAGGCATGACTACTGACATGCCAAATACCGCAGGGGACCCCCAGTCAACACGCCGGGCCACGGAACAGTAAAGCCTCAGAGTCCCTGGGCATTCTGGGAAAGATTCTATAGAGCGCAGCCTCCACCCCCGGGTGCAGTTTTGAGGGCTCCGCAGCAGTTAACTACGACCATCGGGTGCCGCCACAATCGATCCGCTGACAATAAGAAGAGACTTACGACGGGCTTGCGCTGTTTTATAATCGTGGATTTCTGAGGCCGTAAAGCATCACCGGGGACACTTGCCGAGAGTGCCACCCGTTCATTCTCATTTACTTCGCTTCCCTTTTGCGCTGGATGGTAGGATTCATAGCACAGACTAATTCGCTCCTGCGTCCATGGGCCCAACCGTGGCAGTTTACGGCGGCTCGAGTTCATTACTGCCAGAATCATTTGCGCACTCATTAGCTGCACATTAGCACGTGCTTTCCTGCCTGTGTTTTCCTCGGAGATATATCCCAGATGAAGCCGCCGTCCCTTTCCGAGTCCAGCATGGTGCCGCAGGATATTAAGGTGGCCGCTATCTCTGTAGACAGACAGGTTCCAATTAAATGGCAGGGCTCTGATATGTTACGGGAGAGACACACTCCTGTGGAATAATGGAGGCAGAAGGAGACAGTTTGTAAGAACGGCTTTTTGATGCTGGTGAGAAAATGGGGGGAATTGTAAAAGGTCGCAGTGGATCAAAGTCACGTTGCATCAGGCTTCCGGCTGAGGCTGTGGTGCTGGTGGGGGCGGCGTGGGGGGAGGGGGCGGCGGAGGGGGAGTGCTTACATCTGGCAGGCTGAAGAACAATGAATGTGCCGTCTGCCGCCCAGATCGATGGCCATTAGGAGACCGACCCTGTAAATGGGTCGGTTCTTGGGGACGGGTGTCGGGCCACCCGTCATTGTCACATTAGGGGTCCAGAGCCCCGCGGCAACAGCCTGAGTCCCCCCACCTGCCCCCCTCCACCACCTCTTTGCGCTCGGATCATTTTGCGGGAGATCGGCGGTAATGAAGATGCTCGAAACGGCGGCGGCCAGGTGGGTCTCGAGGAGAGAGATCAAAAGGACGCTGGCGGCCCGTGTAGTCACTTCCCCTCCTTTCATGTGGCACGTATTTCCCGAAAAACCCGGAGCGTCGCGCGAGGAGCCTGAACGCCTCCCTCTCGAATCGTCGCACCCTTCTTTGATTCTGTGTGCGATTTCCGGAAAAAAAAAACACACAAGGCAAGACATAAAAGGTTGTTATAAGAACTCCACTGCTGTTCTCTACATTTGTTCCTTTGATGTGGTGCATTCCGGTGGAACACAATTCATCCTCAAAAGGGTAGATGCCACACTTCGTATGCTGGCACAACATACGGATCTGTATAGGTCCAGTTATGCTGGTACGGGTTGGGGGTCAACAGGGAATTCTGAGTCCTCCAAGCTGGGTGCCGCTCATCCAGGCGAGAGGAACATCACCGATACCAGGGCGGTCAGAAAGGTAGCAGAGGTGCTGCCTGCATTGTGAATTGAAAAAAAACTTCTGAATCTACGTAAATTTATTTAAAGAATTCCAGTGTGGCAGAGTCTTAGGGTAATGACGAGTGTGACACCTCACAATTTCGGCACAAAGTGTGATCCTTAATGAATGGGTAGTCGTGCGACGTGCCCCCCATTAGTGTCTCGCCTCAGCCACAGCAGTGGTGGGGGGGAGGGATATTACAGAGCCTGGAGGTGAGTGAGCGGGGGAATCTAATGGGGAACTCCATCCGCTCGCGCCATGTCATTTACAAAAAGGCGCTAATGTGAGGGCAGCCTGGGAGGCTGCCGGCTGTATTCGCGGTGACGGGGTCCGCAGGCCATCGCCGGAGGCTCGGTGTCTCACAGAGGCTTGCGTCTCGTGTTGGAA